GGGGTGCCCAAACGAAGTTCAAAAGGAAAACCAATGGACAAGCTGTGAAGGCGCAAAAAGGTGCAACTGCACATGGGGGTTGGGCCTGCCTCGGAAGGACATGTAAGAAATCCTGGAAAGACGGTTCAAGAAACATCATGTCCCAGATTCACGGGTCAAACTAATGCCATGTTCGAGGCAATGTTCAGCCTTCCCTTCATCCTTGAAATGTTAAAAGCTTCGTCAAGTTGAATGGTTGATGACCCTTCCTGCAAAGCCCAAAGAAATCGGATTGGGCCGAAAGTACAGCACAAGCTAACTCCGCCACTGCGTATGTTAGACCACAACGCATGGTTCAAATCAAGGCGGCACTGCTCGAAGCACGCCTTGAAAACTTGAGGTGGGGGGGGTGAGTTTTATGGTGTGCCTCAAATGGGCGTTGTAGGAAGGGCCCCTTTGGTGGACATCATCCACGTGGGAATTCATGTCAGCACACCACCAGCCTTGCCATAGCATTCGCTGAAGCTCAAAAGAGACAAGACTGGAAAGAAACCCAATCCGGTGGGAAGCTTTAGAATCTTCCGCAGAGAAGCATGGCCTTCAGTGGCTTGCTTGTCTCTTTTGGAGCGTTGCAGCATGGACACGGGGAGTGCCGAGGAGTGTATACTATATACACCTCAAAGCTCTTGAAGGTTCTACTCCCAGCAAACGTCAGGGGTACCTGAAAATATACATTGTCAAACAATGACTGCACCAATCTGTTCTCCACTCTCAACACTTGATCGCAAATGAACATCCTTGGAACAATCAGTTCTGGCGCCAAGAACCAGTTCGTTTGCTTCCAACCTTCGCTTGGCGCATGCCTTCCCTCTGAGCACCCGGGCAGTGATGAAGCCGCCGGAGGGTTCCCGTACCCCGCAGCCACCGGGGCCGGGGCCGGGGCCGAGGCCGGCACCGAATAGCCCCCTGAATAGGTTGGCGCCGCGTAGCTCGGCGGCGCCGCGTAGCTCGGCGGCGCCGCATAGCTCGGCGGCGCCGCATAGCTTGGCGAGCCCTGGGATGGGACCTCTCGCTAAACGCAGGCGCTTCAACGCTTCCCTCATTTTGCCCTTTCCCACAAAGACCGGTCTCAACTTTGACATGCAGACATGCCATGGGCAGGTGATAACCCGGTTGCGGGTCAATCCTGCCGGCCGCCCTGTTCAAAACCAATGCCTCTCCATCGGTTTTCTCATGACCCACACGCCCGATGAATACGGCCAAAAATGGATTGCCAGGAAGGTGATTCCACTTCCCTTTCTTCGCCCTTCCCCTGCCTGCATCAACGGCTGGATGACCCGTGCGTCAGATTGCGCCATGCTCATGGCGACACAGAAAAATGCACGAGCTCGTAGTTTTCTGCAGAGATTGACCAGTTGCCTTCCTGAGCGATCTGCAGGAAAAGCAAGCACGGTCGGTGCACTCAGAGCGGGCCGCTGGTTTTGGGCCAACACGGAGACGAAGCGCTTGGGGGCATTGCGACGCCGAAGCGCAATGCCTCAAGCCCCGAGGCCAAAAATCAGCATGACTTGTCTGGGGCGTCCTTTCTTGGACTTGTAAACACATAATGTCATGTCCACTACACTAAGCGCACAAGACCGAAAGCAGGATCACGGTTGCAATGCTACCCGGTGATCCATGCAATACCAACAAAATTGACCAGGAGCCACGAGTTATTGGATAGGTCCCACCTGCAAGCATGAAATGTGGGGGGCTCTTGTGCTCACAAGACTGATTTGCCATCTTACAAAAAGTTCCATGAAGATGTGTCTCCCTTTGGTTCCTTGAGGAAACAACAGCACTTAGCGAAACAGCAGACCACATTGCGCCAAATAACTCACAACTAGGCTGCTTAACGAGCAAACATGTGGGACCTTGTGGTGCACGTTCTCATGGACATGTTATTGAGAGCTGAAAATGTGCCCTTGTCATATAGGCAAGCTTCCATTTCCAAGGGTCCCTTTTCAGCTAGCATCCTGTCACCCGGCCGTCCCAAGCCCCATCTCTCCTTGGCGCCTGGCGGACGCTTACAGGGAGAAAATGCCAGTTGTCTTGACACATTGACTTTGACTTCGAGTTTTCCCCACACTTTCGACCTCTGCCAAGATATCACGTCAAAATACCACAAATATCGAAACGCCCTGAGACTTTTTCTCTCTCTCTCTCTCTCTTAAGGGTGCTTCATCAGGTCTTCCTCTAGTGTCCACACACACCTGGGTCAGCTGTCTCTTTTGGGCATCAGGCAACTTGCGCCTCCCCCAGCAAGAAAGAATGAACAATGCGCATCAAGCTGCTTTGGGTGTAAATGCAAAAGATATCCCTTTCACATGGTGCTCAAAGCCCGGCTTTGGTTTGCAACACCCACTTCCTGTAGCATCCAAATCGAAGGACAAAGTCGGTTGGGCCTACAAAGTCTTGCAAACTCGGAAAGGAGCAGGAAGCCAACCAGTGAGCGAGCGGTGTTAACTCGTCACGTCCCAACGCCTCGGTCAGGACTGTTCCATGCGCCGTCAGCTCCGCCTTTGGCGGAGATTCGCTTCCTGCAAAAGTGGCGCAGCAGCCCCGACATGGAATGAACAAACTTGAGGAAAGAGGAGAGTGGCAATAAGAGAGGGAAATAGATTGGACAAGACTAGGTAAAGAATAGAAGAAAAGCTTGGAAAAAGGACGAAATGAATCGAGACGGGAAGGGTAGTATAAGGACGAAAAACAATAGAAGAAAGAAGAAGAGAGAAGAAGGCCGCAAACAAGACAAGACACTAGAGAGAACAAGGCAAGGATGTGCGTCATTAAACTCGCAGAAACTAGCCAAGACTTCCCTGTCCCTTGCCCAGGCGTATCCCAGCCCACGAGATGGTCAAAGTAGCCGAACCCATGTAGGAAAGCTGGAGAAACTGGCTCACTCACTGTGGTTGAATTGCTGAGTCATGCAAGTCTCGGGCGGTAAGATTGGCCTTCTATCAGTAAGAATGCAGAATCTTCCTCGGTTGGCTGAAAAAGCAAAGGAACAAAAAAGCCGACCCCCCTCCTTCTCGCGTCAAGGGCGCCAGGACGTCCCCCGAGACTCCCTCTGGGAGCGCCGGCTCCTGAAGTGACTTCTTCTGATGTATGTCGCTTTGTTAACTTCACAGGAAGCGAAGCAGGGGTATATGGCATTTTATCATGTATAATATACATTGATTTGCGAACAAAGATCATACATACACAGATCTCTACACATATACATGTTTTTTTTGTTTTAATGTACCTAGAAGAACACATGTTGCTTGGTCATATTCGCTGACTGGGGTTCCTTTCACAAACTTTCTGCGACAGTGCGCCGACTTTGCAAATGTGGATGCGTCGTTTAGAGGATACCCTTTTTTGGGGGGTGTTTCAGCACCAAAGCACGGCTGCAGTCGGGAGGCTTCCGAAGCCAATAAAGCCACCCCATTTGGGCGCTTCCCTGATGTTGAGACAAACCTTTGCAGATATTTTGCGAAATGACCAAGCCCCGCAACCACGACATCTGGACCACGGGCAGGCTGCGTCTTTTGACCCCCTGCGTAGAATTGGGTGTCGAGCATCCCTGGTGCCAGTGAGTTGTTTCCTTATTTGGATGGCATGCTGTCGGTTCCTTGATTGTCCATGCCCACTTTTTGCAGGCAGGCAGGCAGGAAGGCAGGCAGGAAGGCAGCCAGGCAGGCAGGCAGGCAGGCAGACAAGCAAGCAAGCGAGAAAAAGATAGAAAAAACAAAAGAAAGAAGGCAATCAAAACGAAAAAAGCATCTAAAAGGCAAGCCAGCCTACCAAGCCAAACAAACAAGCAAGTTGTCCAGCCAAGATTCTGAGATGCCAAGACGCCACCCAGACAAGAAAATGACAAGCTCACAAGATAACAACAAACAAACACTCATTTGCCACCCTTCAGCTCCTCCTCCACCGGTTGCGGCGGAAAACCTCGGAGACAGGCTCACCTTCTCAGCTGTTTTTCCCAGCGCTTTTCCCGGTGAGGGGAGTGGAACTTTGAAGTCCCTCAAAATAGGACACAAGCGAAAGGGTAGTGGCAGTGTGTTGCGTGCTAAAGTCCTCCATAATGGATGACTTGCTTTGTCGTTTCATTAGCAACAAGCACGCAAGCTCAAGCGGCAAGCAGTGCGCACCCAGCAACCTGCAAAATGAGAATTTGGTGTGGATTGTCAAAATCACTTATTTTGAATGTCCATTCTCGAGGCCCGAGTTTTTTGTGGAACTCATGCAATAAACCGCAAACTGGGCTCGCTCGAGGGCCTGTGTGCTTTTTGGGACCCAGGTGAATCAAAAAAACACCAGGGCCACGACAGTGGAATGCAAAATCAAAATCTGTGAAGTCACAACAAAACAAACGGAGCCGAATGAAACTACTGGGGTTATTCTGCATGTGGGATGACCAGTTGCTCACTCCCTTGCTTGGTCTAAAGCCTAAAGTCAGCAAATCCAAAGTATAAACAACTAATACCAACTTAAAGAAAGAGGCACCGGTTCCGCAACATGATAGCACGGGCACACAATACCTTGACTTCAGGCGTCTCTAACCTCTCCACACGCCGCTTCTTTTCCAACGATGCGCCAGCCCGGTGGAAAGGCGAACTCGTCAAGAAATCTTCAGGCTCCTAAGGCCAGACTTAGATCGCCAGGTCAACTTGCTGCGTGCTTCGACATGGTCGGCATCACCAGATTAAGCAATGGCCCGGTCAACCCTGTGCTGGCTAAAAGAGAAAAGGAGGAATTACCAAAAAGCAAACACTTTGAAAAGTGCCAGAAAGATTGTCACAAGAACCGGGTGCAAACGATCTAGCCGGCAACATAGAACCAGGCACTTCTGGAAGGCCATTTTCCTCGGTAAGCATTCATGAGTCCTTTTCCTCGATAAGATAAGTTTGTCTCCATACGCATCTCACCCTCTGCCAGCCCTGCTGGCTTCATGAAAACGGCCTTGTCGGATCTGCGATAGCACATCAGCCATGCAAGGCTGCAGAACTACAATTTATCACACCAAAGGCGGACTGCCCATCAAGACTTCCAAGAATCCTGCAACAAACCTTTTCATATCATCCCATGCTGCCAGAGCAGCCGCAGCTGCCATTGTTTCCCATCCCCTGCTCGGGCAGAAGAGTCTTCTGGGGCCCCAGCCGTCTACTGGTACATGCGCCTCCTCCACCAGGACAGGGGAGAGGGGGGAGAGCTCATCTTCCAAATCCTGAAATCGACGAGGCAGCGCAAAGCGTCCCCCTCTCAAGTCGCGTTACATGTCTGACCTAAAGGAAGAACCAAAGGTTGGCTGGCTCGGCACGCCTCTTTGGGAAGATTCACACAGTGAAAGCGCCCAATATGCAGACCAATTGCATTTTGAGATGCTGGCCAAGGGCTCAGCGATCATGGATCCCTCCCTGTGCAGATGTTGCGCCCAGCTCTCGCGTTCCCAGCCTCTTGCCGCCCACTTTCAGGCGTGCGTGGCCTGAGTCAGCAGAAGAATTGAGTGTCCCAAATGTGGGTGGTCGCAAACTGGGCCATTTGTTGCATTTCAGGCCCCTGGCCACAGTTTGTGCTACCTGTAAAGAAGGTCCGTTTTGGCACGGCCCAAAGGCTAAACGTGGGTCGGAGAGTAAAGGGGTCTTGCCCAACACATGCCAACCAGGCTTGCTTGGCCCAGCGTGGTACTGGATCCCAATCTTCCAAGAGTTGAGCAGACTTGAGAAAAGGTCAGCTGCCTGCTGGAATCAACCTGAATACAAATTACAAAGCAGTGTCAAATGAATCTGACAAACGCGGACCAGAAAGAAACCAATACCGCTTTCCCATTCCGTCTTTGGCGACCCGCTCTCACCGATGCGCGGACATCCCACCCATCCCACGGGCATGACAGAAACTACTTGGAGACCTTTGTGGTGAGGGATTGGTCGGATTGGTCACGTCCCAATTCATTGACGTGAGGGTCACGCAAGCCTGTTCCTCCGAAGTCCGACGCGATCCGGATCGCACAAATCGTTCGGAACAGTCCGAATAAGGAGAAGCCTGAGTCCACCTGTTTCAGGCCCATATCGTCTTCCACAAGCTTCCACGAGGACCGTTCACTCCCATGCCCATGGAGCCCTCTGTCAAAAATGCGAAACGCTTGGGCGCTTTTTCCTTCTAAAAGGCAATCAAAACGTGGAAGAGAGCGACAAAGGTGGGGAACAGAATAGCTATTGCATTGCGTCTCACAGACCCCTTGGCTTCACCTCCCGGAGACCCGTTGTGAGTGTGTGCAAAACAACACCGGAAAGCCCAAAGCCATAGAACTGGATGCAAGCAAGGTGCGACTCGGGTGAGACCTCATCCATGACATCACCTAATTCTTTCAGATGATGCCACGCATCTGGCGGCCAAAAAGTAGGGATGGCGTGCGTCTTGCTTGGCTGGCAGGCAAGTTCAGAAAATGCAAATTTCCAGATCGAGGTGCTGTTGAGCCAAGCTCCTTCAATTTGAGGCTTGGGCTACTACTATATATTCAGGATGTATCAACTGCTTTCATGAAACCTATAAGAGGGCCAAGTATGAAGATCGTCCTATGCTGGGATCTTGCGCGATTGTGGGATCCATCCTACTCCAACCAGGTCTAATCAGAACTGTGACACGCGCGGCCTTCATGCAACCTGTTGCTTGGCAAGCTGCGCTGAGATGTGCGCGTTGCGCGAAACGCATGTGCCTTTTGAGACCACCTTGGAACTGCGAGGCGCGAGCGATCGTGATGTCCATGGTAGCTCAAAGAACTCTGCCAAGCAGGAAACAAACAACTAACACAACAGCTCAGTGTTTGGGCATTCCTCCGTGACAGGCCGAGCAAGCTCATACTAGCGGCCCCACGCATAGAGACGACTCAAAGCAAGGCTCACGGATTTCTGGACAGATCATTGAGTTTCAAGCCCGGCCCGCAAATACCTCAAGCCCCGCAAATGTCCAACCATGAAAGGAGCGAAAGTCCTCTTTACGTGTCCTCTTGCTGTCTGTCTGACCGGCTTGTGTTCGCCTTTCAACGTTCACTGAAACCCGAAAACCTCAGGCATTTGGAAGGGAAACAAAGCCCAGCTGGGCGTCTCCGAAGGTGGGCCCAACTTGCAAGCCAACATGCCGGTTGCCATGGAGATCCATCCAAGGAAAGCGGGATATCTGATGGTGGGGTGTCTGATGCAAGCGGAAAACGGGTTCACCATCACGGTTTCCCGTCCCAGAGAGCTCAAATGAGAAAACCCGCTCGGCTGGACACCAAAGCAAATTTCCTCTGCCCCTCACATCCCAAAGGCTGCTAAACTGTAGAAAGCTTGTCCTACTCCGTGTCCAAAACACGTACAGGTAACTGGAATGAGTTCAGGACTCGTTATCCACTTAAGCCACAGTGCGCTAAGGTAAGTAATCGAGGGCTGGGATATTTCCCTTGGACCTGAAGACACTGCTCACACTGCAGCTACAACCTGTGCATCAAGCTCCCAATCCTTCAAAGTAGTTACACTGCGTGTAAAGCTGGGGCCAATGTGGCATCCTGCGGCCAACAGCCCTGTGACCCTATGAACATGTTCGTGCTTGCCATTCAGCTCCCTCTCTGGCAGGGGGCCTCTTTCCGAATTGGGCATCCACCACCCCATTGCCCCGCTGTGGTTTCAAGTGTGTGCCTTCTCATTCCTGAGCATCACCTGCGGCGCAGCGGGACAAATATGCACAAAGCGCTGAGATTCTCCAGGCGAAGTGAGGCCGGCTTGGAGCAACGTGAGTATGTGACGTGTGCAAATTAAAGAAAGCTCAGGGAAAATGTGTGAGTATGAAGGCAGGGCATTTTCTAGCTGCTTCCAGGCGACACTGCATGGCACCTCAACACTTGAAAATGACGATCACCCTGCGCCAAACAATCCTTGGCTGAAAAAGCCCATGCCACAAAAGGCTTTGCTCAAAAGATCCCTCCCTGAAAGCAAACCTGCTCCCTCTTCCATTCAGCTTCCAGCACTTCGATCACGGTGTTGTATCTGAGTGGTCGCCAGTTCAGAGAGGTCTGGAGAAGGATATCATACCTTTGGCGTGTCAGTGGCCAGCAGCCACATGGGAACATACGTGAAGGAAAGGAGCCGAAGGATTGACTCCAGACTCCAGGAGAAACCGTAGACTCGTGCTAGAATTCGAACGAAGTTCTGCGTCACTTCCAAACGAGCTGTCATATTTGCGCTTGCCTCCAAAGATCCTAATACGCGCAGCATTCTCAGCCTGCTCAAAAGAACGTCCACACACCGCGCCTGGAGGTTCGACCTTGCCAAGGCCCACGGACAGTCGGCATCTCCTGTCGAGTGGTGTCTCGCAACGAAGCAGAGGCGAATGAGTACCTTGGTGTGACTAGATGCGGTCCCAACAACAAAACAAACACCACAATTCATTCAGCAAGGTGGCTGAAAGGGCCAGCAAGGTCATGAGCAAGATGTTCCTTGAGAAGCCGCATTGTTGGGGGGATCCAATGCCAGAAGAACTCCGAAAGCCCAGCGCTACTCCGGAGGCTCGTTGCGCCGTCGCGGGTGGCAGGGTGTCTTTTCACGTAGGACGAAGATGACGTGCGGCTTCTCGTTCTCCTCGACTTTCGCATTCCACTGCGCCATGGCCGCCATCTGAGCTGCAAGTGCGAAATCCGCCAGCCCTCCAACTTGGCCACGATGGCTGCCTCCACATCAGCATAGGCCCCAGGCATGCTCGACCTGCTTCATCTCTCGGTGTGCATATGGCGACTCCTTTGTGCACTCTGACTCTGTCCGCCTCTGGCTTACTTCGAGTTCTGAATACGCAACCAGCAAAAAACAAACAGCCAAAGGATCAAAGGATCCAAGAATCAAAGGGAAGGAAGGCACAGCTCTCCTTTGGGCGTCCAGAAGGTCCTCAAGTCATTCAAACCCGATGGAGGGGTGGGGTCCACCCAAGGTTGGCCGCAAATGGCAAGGAACCGCCCTACTGTCATCTTGGGTGTTGATTCCTCCAATCCTCTCACAGCGCTCCCAGCTTGACGAGGCACAGAACGAGGAGATAGTTGTACGGACATTCACTTGTTGGCTCCCTGTCATATCACCTGGCATGGCTCTGTCTCATAGGCTAGTGCTTGTTTTCGAGGTGGCTTCCCTTCTTTCTTCAAAACCTCAAAGAGGATACCCTCAAAAGACAGGCAAAGCAAGCCCTTCTTCCTACCGTGAATTCCCAAGCTTCTCAAGAACCAAGCTTTTCAAGAACCAACCTACGTTGTGCATTGAGAGGGATTCAGCCAGCGCTGTGCCCATGCAAAGCAATGCTTCAATGTGTTCAGGAAGGAACCGTAACATGTCCAACTTCGCCGCAGAATTAGGGATCGGCACTCTGCCATGCTGAAGGGCTGCAACAAATGTGAACCGATCAAAAGGAGAAATCGAGCGGGGACCACAGCTTCAGGAGTTCCTGACTCGAAGTCAAGCCAACCAGCCAAGAGATCTCGTAACACGTGAACAAAGCAAAGCAAGTTGAAGACCCAAATCAAACTACCATGAAGATTTAGCCGCCTTGTCCAACAGCCAAATGAATCGTCGCCAACCATGACAATACCTTGTGAGCCCCTTTCTGCCCTGGCTCCTGCTGGCTGGCTGCTGTTGTCTTGCTTTGCCTGGCCCACACCGTGTCAGTGCATGTCAAGTCTCCTAAAGAGCTTCCCCTGATTCAACAGCAGACTTCAGCCCACTTTCCGCTGTCTAACTATCATTGTGTGAATCGCAACTCGGCATACACAAGGCAGGCGCAAAACCCTTGCTGGGATGTTTTGTTGTCCATTCCTAGTTTGGATACGAATCCAAGCGAGAGGTTCTGTCACTGTTCAGGCCAGAAACTCTTTGTGAAGCATCCCTCACCAATTAGAGGATCAGCGCCGCAGAACAAATGGTTCTTCACGGTCAACTGCTGGACCGAACTAGCCAACGGGAGAAAAGAGGAGGAGCAGCTGTAATTTGGAAGACCAAGGAATTCGGTGACTGTCATAGTTGCGCATGGCAAAGTTAGCAACATCCCCATAACAACCCTGACGACAAATGACACTTGAATCAAAGTGTCCTTTTTCCGAACAGAACATGGAACAAAGTCATGATGACCCTAATGCTCTGGGCCAATTCCAGGATAACAACAAGCTAAACGGAGTTTGCTTGGGCCCCTTGGGCCCGCACTCCCCCCCGCCTTTGCAGCATACCTTGGACATGAGAGACAAAAGCGCTGGATCAAGAGGTTGGCAGGGGGCGGCAAGACAGCAGTGCTTGGACATTGCTATAACCTACACTACAAACTCTATATCTGGCTCATGCAACATGTTGGCCTGCCCACCAAAGGAAGCTGCCAATTCGGGCAAACTGCAAAATTTGCCGACGGAAAACATCTGGAGACTCTGATGGGGTTTTGGAAGTTTGGTCTGATGTGCCTTGCCCGAGACTCCTCAAGCTGAGCTGCTAGTGACTGCCATCATAATCAAGCTGAAATTTCATGAAAGCATGCTAAAAATGCTGGCGTTGCAATTTTTTGGAGCATGGGCGGTCTGTGAAAATGGGAATACTAGTGAACTTCAGGGATGCTGGGCAGCCCAATTGTGTTCCTACCTTCCCACTTCTGAAGCTTCCCCAACCGTCAAGACTAAACCTGCAGGGCCACCAGCTGATGGTTCTTTCCTACATGTGAGCATGTGTGTGTTGTCCGCAAGAGATGTAACATCACTCAGAGGGCGCACTGGCCGCTCAAATACCTGGAAAGCTAATGGGAGTTGGCAAGCAATGATACAGAACAGGGCTAGTTTCTCGCACTCCCCATTTCGCCGAGCTGCGCAAGCGCCAGAGCCAGCGCCCATCGTGCCATGGGCCGAGCGCGGGCAAAAAGCCCGGGCAGACGACTTATTTGGCATCTTGGTACTGGCTTGTCCTCTTGGCAACCAAGGAAAAACTGAAGACCGAAAACTGAATCAACAAATCAAGCTCGAGTGCAACACGAAAGCCCCATTCGCCCCCAAGTCCCCCGGCCCTGCGGCTTCAGAGGTGAACTTCTTTGTAAGGTGCAGTTCTGAAGTAAGTGCTGCCTAATTCGCAAAAGCGGTCTGATGCGTCTGGACATTTCGAATATGCGCCCCTCTCAAGAAGCTAGCATGACGATCCTAAAACTTTGAGCTGCGCGCCCCTTTCCAAAAAACAAAAGGCACGCAGCTGAATAAGGCCGATCAAGGCATACTATGCATCTCAGACATTCACTACATTACCAACAATCACCCCTGGCATGCTTTGAAGGCCGCAATTGAGCACTCACGCCGGAGTTCAACACCAGCGAAAAGAACAATAACAAATGCAACCACCGATGACAACCAATATGA